AAAATTAAAGTTTCTTACAAGCTCCCAAAAGAAACACTAGTCTTCCATCAGACAACAGATGATGAACTAAGTTGGGTTGTTGTAGGTTTGTTTCGGGCTATATGGCCATGGTCTAGAGGCATTCTCTTCTGACTTTTCACCTGCTCCTATGGCAAGCATCCTCAGAGGTAGTGAGGTCTGTTGGAACTAGGAAAATTGGTTTATATATCTGTAGAATGACCAGGGTGGGACAAAGAACTCTTGTCTGCTGGAGCTGGGTGTGAATGTTTCAAGTGATCACCTTGATTAGCATATAATGGCCCAAAAGTGCCTGGAGCAATCTTTTGTTGAGAGGTGATTAGATGTCCAAGATTGTTTCCTCTCCATTGTTGTGCTGTTGTAATTTTAGAGTTTTTTTAATACTGGTAGCCAGATTTTGTTCATTTTCATGGTTTCCTCCTTTCTGTTGACATTCTGTCCACGTGCTTGTGTATTTCAGTGGCTTCTCTGTGTAGTCTGACATGGCGGTTGTGAGAGTGGTCAAGCATTTCTGTGTTCTCAAATAATATGCTGTGTCCAGGTTGGTTCATCAGGTGCTCTGCTATGGCTGACTTCTCTGGTTGAAGTAGTCTGCAGTGCCTTTCATGTTCCTTGATTCATGTTTGGGCAATGCTGCTGCGTTTGGTGGTCCCTATGTAGACTTGTCCACAGCTGCATGGTATACGGTAGACTCCTGCAGAAGCGAGAGGATCCCTCTTGCCCTTTGCTGAACGGAGCATTTGTTGGATTTCTTGGTGGGTCTGTAGATAGTTTGTATGTTGTGTTTCCTCATCAGCTTCCCTCTGCGGTCAGTGGTTCCCTTGATGTATGGGAAGACTACTTTTCCTCAGGGTGGGTCTTTGTCTTGACTCTCGTGGCTTGTTCTCGGTCTTGCAGCTCTTCTGATGTCTGAGGTGGAGTATCCATTGGGCTGTAGAGCCCAGTTTAGGTGGTTCAGTTCATCTTGAAGGAGGTGGGGTTCGCAGATTCTTTTTGCATGGTCTGCCAAGGCTTTAATGATGAACTAAGTTCTTAGCAGCAGACACAAAGCAGATTCCATTGGAGTGAAAACAGCACTATCAGGTACATTTAATTGTCAATGCACACTTGCTGAAACCTCAGCAATATGTATATGTAGCCTGAGGATGGAAGACATACAGACCAAAGCTTGGAAAAGTTAGATTTTCAAACTTGAAATCCCTAGCATTGTGCTCATAGGGTTCTAAGTCTTCTAATCACCCCAAATGCAAATTTTTCCAAGTTCCAATATAGATCTACTTTGCAGCATAGCAGTGAAATATGTATATCTTGGAAGAAGATGATATATGTGGAGTGCTTTTTCTTTGGAAAGTATTAAACAAGCATTTTTATGCATATTCAGTAAGAGAATTTGCAATGAGATGGCTCAGGGGATTTGCAGTGACATTGCTTTGAAAGTAATCATCTTTTGATTGAACCAAGTGTCCTTTGCCAAAGGATGTGGTTTGGGTGCCTATAAAGCTTGGGAAAGTTACTTTTTAAAAGGGGGAGGGGGATAATCAAATATAGAAAATCCCTGCCAGGGTGATTGTGATGCTTGGAAATTTGGGGCACAACTGATCTAAAAACAGTACATATTTCAGCCTCTGCTTAAATCGAGACATATTGTTTGAGGAGCTGCATACGCTTGTGGTGCAAAGCTGCCTCCTGATTACAAGGGCTGTATCAAATCCCACCTTGACCTTAATATGCCTGGCACATGGGCTTGAGCTGATCGCTTTCCAGAATGGAGCACAAGCATTGCATCCATGGCTTCCTAGAAGAAAAGCTGTCTTTTCGTCTCTTAAGTGCAAGACCCGTCTCATCACACGACGGTGGAAACATCATTTCCTCTTCCTTAGCAGCTCCAGCCCATTGCGTTGAACTATTGTTTCCTGCCTGCTTTTAAAACACCTAACAATTACATTTATTGTTGCTGTTAGTGGTGCCATTGTACTGATGATATTATTGTGTGGTTCTTCAGTTTTGATATCTATATTGGTTTTTACTATCACTTTCCTCTTTTCCTTCTCCTTGTATGCCAGTGTTTCTCAACCTGGGGGTCGGGACCCTGGGGGGATTGCAAGGGTGTGCCGTCGTGCCTGGGGGCTATAACTCTTAGTGAAAGAGACATAGACGTGACATCTTTCCCCCGGGGGATTGCTTCTTGCCTTCCTTTAAAGAAGTGGAACTCCCAAGGACCAAAACACTGTAGATAACTCAAAATAGGTTTTACTGTTCACAAAGAGTTATCCCTTTAAGGCAATAAGCTGGAAGTTTCAAAGGGGGTAAAGGAGATATACATTACAGTCTCTGGTTGTCTTGGGTCCAAGGAGATTTCACAGCTGAGAAGCTTTTCCTGATTCCTCTTTTCTCAATGGCTGTGAAGGTCGGAACAAACACAACTCCCAGTCCAATGGCCTATGTTGAAGGCACAGAGTCTTCCTTTTGATGCCAAAAGACCGGTTTTTGAAGGCGCTTGGGTCTCCTCAATGTTGTCCAGGGTGATCTGAACATGAAGAATGAGTCCCAAGGGTGAAAACCTTAGAATTGGTGATGAGAGGTAACTTAATTAAGGGTTTTAGAGCCAAGTCTCTTTCTCACGTCTATCTGATAGAATGTTTGATGGAAGAATGGAAAAGGAAAAGCTCTGCCCTCCTCCAGGAAGACGTGGAGCCAAGCAATTGAGCTGAGGAAGCAATATAACTGGTGCAAACAACATTGAATGACAGCTATAAATAACCAATCAATCCAACTACACATTTACAAAGTAAGCAAGTTTGGGCATGCTATACAGTTTAAACCTTTGCACTTTAAAGTTCTACACACAGGTGGCGCCACTCACACTGTCACAAAGGGGGTGTCAGAAGGGTCGCCAAAGACAATTAGAAAACACAGTATTTTCTGTTGGTGTCAGAAGGGTCGCCAAAGACAATTAGAAAACACAGTATTTTCTGTTGGTCGTGGGAGTTCCGTGTGGGAAGTTTGGCCCAATTCTATCATTGGTGGAGTTCAGAACGCTCTGATTATAGCTGAACTATAAATCCCAGCAACTACAGCTCCCAATGTCAAGGTCTATCTTCCCCAAACCCTACCAGTGTCCACATTTGGGCATATTGAGTATTCATGCCAAGTTTGGTCCAGATGCATCAGTGCTCTCTGGATGTAGGTGAACTACAACTCCAAAACCCGAGGTCAATGCCCACCAAACCCTTCTAGTATTTTCTGTTGGTCATGGGAGTTCTGTGTGCCAAGTTTGGTTCAATTCCATCATTGGTGGAGTTCAGAATGGAGTTCAGAATGCTCATTGATATTGTAGGTGAACTATAAATCCCAGCAACTACAACTCCTAGGGAGTACACTTTTTTTTAGACACTTAAGTCCTAAAGTTTGGTTCTGTGGTCAACTTCCAATAAATACCTATATTTGGTTACAATTGGTTTTTACTGTAACCTTATTTTCTTCCTCCTTGAAAATGGAATGATGGTGGAGATCATGGTGGAGAAGATGGTGTAGAGGTGATGGTGGAGATCATGATGGGATGAAGGTTTAGATGATGATGTAGATGATGGTGTAGATCATGATGCATATGTAGATTTAGATGATGGTGGAGATGATGGTGGAGATCATGATGGAGATGAAGGTTTAGATCAAGGGTCCTCAAACTAAGGCCTGGGGGCCGGATACAGCCCTCCAAGGTCATTTACCTGGCCCTTGCTCAGGGTCAACCTAAGTCTGAATAGACTTGAAAGCACACAATAACAACAAAAATCCTATTTCATCAACCAAAAGCAGGCCCACACTTCTCATTGAAATACTAATGTTTATATTTATTAAAATTCATTTTAATTATTGTATTGTTTTACATGTTTTTGCACTAAAAATAAGATTTACAGTGTGCATAGGAATTCATGCCCCCCCCCCCCCCAAATGATAATCTGGCCCTCCAACAGTTTGAGGGACTGTGACCCGGCCCTCTGTTTAAAAAGTTTGAGGACCCCTGGTTTAGATGATGTAGATGATGGTGTAGATCATGATGCATATGTAGATTTAGATGATGGTGAAGATCATGATGGAGATGGAGGTTTAGATGATGATGTAGATGATGGTGTAGATCATGATGCATATGTAGATTTAGATGATGGTGGAGATCAAGATGGAGATGAAAGTTTAGATGATGATGTAGATGATGGTGTAGATCAGTGGTTCTCAACCTGCGGTCCCCAGATGTTTTTGGCCTACAACTCCCAGAAATCCTAACAGCTGGTAAACTGGCTGGGATTTCTGGGAGTTGTAGGCCAAAAACATCCGGGGACCCCAGGTTGAGAACCACTGGTGTAGATCATGATGCATATGTAGATTGAGATGATGGTGTAGATGAGGTGGAGATCATGATAGAGATGGAAGTTTAGATGATGGTATAAATGATGGGGGTGGTGTCGACCGACAGGGAGCTCTGGCGTGGACTGGTCCATGAGGTCACGAAGAGTCGGAGACGACGGAACGAATGAACAACAACAACAACAACATAAATGATGGTATAGATGATGGTGGAGATTATGACCGAGATGAATGTTTAGGTGATGGTGGAGATCGTGATAGAAATGATGGTGGAAATCATGGTAGAGATCACAATATAGATGATAGAGATCGTGATAGAGATCACAGTGTAGTTGATGACAGAGAGATGGAGATGATTGCAGTACAAATGGTTTTACTTATCCGTGGTTTCACCTAATATCTGTTGTAAAAGTTACACCTTCTTTTCAATATTTATTTCAGCATTCTACTAAATGTGGAATATCCATGTGAAGCCTGGAAATCCATTCCATGCAAATGCAGGGATCATACTATATTATTATTTAACAGTGGATTCAGTGGGGACTAAGTAGTGGGATTTCGACTATTTTAAAACTTATCACTCTTCTGCCTTAACATTAATTTTACTTAATTTTTATTTCCAGGGTGCTCCCACGGCCTGATGGGTTTCTGATGGTCTCCTGCTGACAAGCTGGGAAGAGCATGGTCAAACACCAGCCTCTACAGTACTACGAGCCACAGTTATGTTTGTCATGTCTGACGGGGATCTATGGCTGCCGCTGGAAAAGATACCAGCGGTCACATGATGACACCACCAAGGTGAGTTGCGGCTTTATGGGATGACTCCATTTTGGAATTGTCTGGGGTCCAAACAGGGGGATTGTCTTGAATTGGATAAGGCCAAATCTTGAGTTGACCATGAAAAATTGAGACTTCTATAAAAATATATTCTTTATGAACCAGAGCAAAGAAATGATATTATTTGAAGCAATTGTTGTGAGTACAGTCTTCCCATTTTCTTGTTGATGTCTATGCTTGGAGAGCTTTCCTCCCATTTTAAATTCTGTATTTAATTTCCACATTATACACAATATCACAATATGCAGTATTTGATCTGAGCATGGTTTAAATTTGTTGTCTGGCATATCTATATTAGGCTTACAGGACTCTTTTGTACGATTATTGTACACTAAGGGGTTCTGTTGTCTTTTTAAGTTGTTTTAAGTGAAGGTTGGCATTATAGCTCAGAAGGAAATGACATAGTGTTTTTTAAAAGACACTGTTCTGTCACGCGCTGGGCCTGTAACAGCTGTCTTTTCTATAGGACCTATACTTTAAGCCCAAGGGCGCCTCAAAGAGAGGTTCTCAGGGATTTTTCTGAAGTAATGCTCTTTAGAGTCTTTAATGATACAACAAAGTCTTTATTATGGAACAAACAACAAATCTTCAATGGTTCAAACAACACTTCAAGGCTTTCTTAGTCTAGTCCTCAATGGGCTGGTACATGACTTTAGTTAACTGTATTTTCTCTGTAGGAAAATACCCTATTTAACCTCTCCCAGGCGGTTTACTATCTATGCCTCATCGGTGTGGGTCCTACTACCGATTCCAAATGCGTCTGGGTATTGAGTAGACCTACCAGCCGAGGCTTGTAGATATTTCAGATGGAGTTCTGTGGATCTGTAATGCTGTCCTCCCTCAGAGAATTCTTTGAGAACTTCAGGGCTGTTTTCCCTCTGATTGCTGTGAGGCTGAGAGGCTGTGAGCTCTCAGCCAGAGCCTTGGGATCTTTTCCCTGGAATTTCTGTTTCTGTTTCCCTGGATGTTCTTGAGAAAATAAGCTTTTCTACGGGACGAGCTGGTCTATGTCCTATAGTTAGCTTCCTTATGTGAGACTGCCCAAAAAAATGGCTCCTTTCCCTCCCAGAACAAGGGGCGGAACCAAAGCTTAATTATGATGGACAGGAGGCCTGCCCTATGACTGCAAACAGATAACAGAAAGAAAATAAAGTTGGAGCTCCTGGTACAGCCGTACCAGCACAGACACATTAATGGAGGATAGTTCTACCAACCATATGAACTACATGGTGGTTATGACCCCTACGTGAGACCTTCATCAATATGTGTTGTAGTATTTTTTTCAGCACCAGCAACTAAGATAAAAAGTCTAGGACTAATTCCGTTATGCCACATTATGCCATTCTTGTGAGACTGTAATATATTTCTTAGGGAAGAATTTGGAAATCACATTTGCACTGTGGAAGGATACCACCTTAATATCTTTTTCCTTTATACACAATTCCAATTTCATTCACTGATTGTTGTCACTCTTAACTGTGAGTCTTTTGTATGTTGGATATTTGTAACTCAGGGATTGCATGTAGTATAGATCAGAGTTTTCCAAACATTTTAAAAAGGCATCATTTTGTGACACAGTAATTCAGCTTTACTAGCAAACCAGAAGTTAATCCAATGTCCAGAAGTTAATCCAATGAGAGATGGACATATACATAAACTGTACATACAAGCCCTATGAGGAGCGGCTTAAGGAGCTGGGCATGTTTAGCCTGAAGAAGAGAAGGCTGAGAGGAGATAGTTGAAACCCGAACCATCCGAGAGCTACTTGCTTTTCGGAAAGCCTGTAAGACCTTTCTTTTCCGACAAGCTTTCGATGGGTGAATAACTCGGGACTGTGTCGGTTCTCGTTTTATTGTATTTTAAAGTTGGTTGTATTGTTTTAATCTACTGCTGTAAACCACTGTAAAGTCAAATAAATAGATAGATAGATAGATAGATAGATAGATAGATAGATAGATAGATTAACATGATAGCCGTGTATAAATATGTGAGAGGAAGCCACAGGGAGGAGGGAGCAAGCTTGTTTTCTGCTTCCCTGGAGACTAGGACGCAATGGAACAATGGCTTCAAACTACAAGAGAGGAGATTCCATCTGAACATGAGGAAGAACTTCCTGACTGTGAGAGCTGTTCAGCAGTGGAACTCTCTGCCCTGGAATGTGGTGGAGGCTCCTTCTTTGGAAGCTTTTAAACAGAGGCTGGATGGCCATCTGTCAGGGGTGATTTGAATGCAATATTCCTGCTTCCTGGCAGTGGGTTGGACTGGATGGCCCATGAGGTCTCTTCCAACTCTTCCAACTCTTAGATTCTATGATTCTATGTAGTGACCCAATTTTAAAAATATATGAATAATAATAATAATAACAATAATAATAATAATAATAATAATATATCCTCAGCTGCTGCAAGAAAATCACACAGACGGACTACAAACAGAGGCACAACTCTGTGGCCCAAATGATTCATTGGAACTTATGTCACAAGTACAACCTGCCAGTAGTAAAGAACTGGTGGGATCATAAACCTGCAAAGGTCGTGGAAAATGAACACACAAAAATACTGTGGGGCTTTCGAATCCAGACTAACAAAGTTTTGGAACACAATACACCAGACATCACAATCATGGAAAAGAAAAACGTTTGGAATATTGATGTTGCCATACCAGGTGACAGTCACATTGAGGAAAAACAATAGGAAAAACTCATTCGTTATCAGGACCTCAAAATCGAACTGCAAAGGCTTTGGCATAAACCAGTCCAGGTGGTCCCAGTGGTCATCGACACATTGGGTGCCATGCCCAAAAGATCTCTGCCAGCATTTGGAAACAATAAACATTGACAAAATTACGATCTGTCAGCTCCAAAAGGCCACCTTACTTGGATCTGCACACATCATTCGGAAATACATCACACAGTCCTAGATGCTTGGGAAGTGTTCGACTTGTGATTTTGTGATATAAAATCCAGCATATAGATCTCGTTTGCATTGACATATTGTGTTTTTGTGTCAGTAAAATAACAACAACAACAGCAATTTATATTCTGCACTTACTCCCTAAGTGGACTCAGGGCAGATTCCAACAAAAGATGGCAAACATTCAGCGCCAGATCCAATTCATAAATAAGAAACATAAAGCAATCACTTAAGCTACATCTAACATAGCAGATATTAAGCATCAATTATATAAACAACCCTTAACATTGGGTTGTTGTAGGTTTTTTTGGGCTATATGGCCATGTTCTAGAGGCATTTTCTCCTGACGTTTCGCCTGCATCTATGGCAAGCATCCTCAGAGGTAGTGCGGTAACAGTCATTTAAAATAATTATTAAAATATAATGCAGTCAGTGAATCCAGAGAGGTCAATGATACCAATTCAGCCAAAACCAACTGAGTTTGGTGACAAGTTCGGAACAGGTATTGAATGTAAACTTCTAGTCAACTAAGATAATAACATACATTTCCAAGATTTCTGACATGTCCCATTACGTTCGTATGACACACCTACACACTGCAGCTGACTCACAAATGTGTTGTGACAATCAGTTTGGAAAGAAAGCTCTGGTATAGATGCACTCAAAGTGTCGGCAGTGGGAAGGTGGTGAAGGAGGTCTGGAGAAAGACAGTAGCCTTTTCAGTTAAATAAAGCTTGACCTGGGAAAGAATGGGATTCTACTCTTAAGAGATCACACTGTCGCTCTGTGTATGTACAGACAATAGATAAAGTAAACAGCAACTGCCTCCAGGATCTCATATTTACCAAGGATGGGGAACAAAGCAGAAAGAAAAAGGCAAATACCTGCTTCACCATCTATCTTGGGATGTTGAAAATCATATTTATGTTTGTTTACCAATATGGAAATCTTACTTACTTACTTACTTACTTACTTACTTAGGCAATCCCTTAAGATGGTCTTCCTTGATGACTTTTTTTGTGGGTTTGTAGGTGGCTGTGGAGCCCTATTCTTGACCCGCATCTTCTCCCACAGTGAAGGCATTGGTTTCCAGGTGGAAGGCGGTCCCGGTCGGGGTTGGCTTGACGCGCCTTCCTCCTGGCACGTTTCTCTCTTTCACCCTCCACTCGTGCCTCCTTGAATTCTGCAGCACTGCTGGTCACAGCTGACCTCCAGCTGGAGCGGTCAAGGGCCAGGGCTTCCCAGTTCTCAGTGTCTATGCCAGAGTTTTTAAGGTTGGCTTTGAGCCCATCTTTAAATCTCTTTTCCTGTCCACCAACATTCCGTTTTCTTCTTAAGTTCAGAGTAGAGCAACTGCTTTGGGAGACGGTGGTCAGGCATCCGGACAACTGGCCGGCCCAGCGGAGTTGATGTTGGAGGACCATCGCTTCAATGCTGGTGGTCTTTGCTTCTTCCAGCACACTGACGTTTGTCCGCTTGTCTTCCCAAGAGATTTGCAGGATTTTCCGGAGGCAGCGCTGATGGAATCATTCCAGGAGTTGCATGTGACGTCTGTAGACAGTCCACGTCTCACAGGCATAGAGCAGGGTTGGGAGGACAATAGCTTTATAGACAAGCACCTTGGTATCCCTACGGATGTCCCCATCCTCAAACCTTATGGAAATCATAAGGCTGTTGAAAGGCACAGTAATTGTGGTTTGCATTTTGGAAGAAGTTTTCAGGTGGTCCCTAGAAAATTCAAGCTGTTCTCATTTGTTAGTACGAGGCTTACATGACCTGATTGTTCTCCCCCCCCCCCCCACGTGTACAATTTTCAATGTATTGTTGAAGGCTTTGATGGCCGGTATCACTGAGTTGTTGTGAGTTTTCCGGGCTGTATGGCCATGTTCCAGAAGCATTCTCTCCTGATGTTTCGCCTGCATCTATGGCAGGCATCCTCAGAGGTTGTGAGGTCCTTACTATCTCTGAGGATGTCTGTCATAGATGCAAGCGAAATGTCAGGAGAGAATGCTTCTGGAACACGTCCATATAGCCCGAAAAACCTACAAC